TAGTAGTATTTTTTTTTTTTGCTTCAATGCCTTTTTTTATGAATACTTTAGTGATTGGAGTTTTAAACCGTAATTACAAAAATTCTTACAATGAAAGCAAATTCAATGCCTTTAGGGCAGGGGTCTCAAACTCAAATTGGCTGGGGGCCATTGCTGTGATTGACACCTCATAGGAGGGCCATTTTAACATTCAAGCACAACAAGAAAGCGGAACATTTCTGAAAATTTACTTAACATTATTTCTAATTTACTTCAAATTCCATTGCTAAAATATTTTTGTCAAACTTAACAAAAAATGTAAACAGCAGTGTCTCTATCGTTGTTATAACAGTATATATTAGTTTTTAACAGGTAGTGCAAATATTTTTCCCTTACTTTATTTTAACTTAAATAACTTAAAACCTTGCACTCAACTAACAACATTGCACTGAACAAATGCAAACCCTGAATACATTTGTACACTATTCTATTTCTTGCCAGACACCTGGCAGCGCTTCTGCTCACACAACTGAGCCATGTTTGCCCTGATGGAGGTCACAGTTGAAACTCTGAGTACAGCTTCAAGATGGGCATCACTAAGCCTGGACCTGTACTTGCATTTATTGAAGTTCATAGTTGAGAAAAGTTTCTCACAAAGATATGTGCTTCCAAAAAAGCACATTACCCGAGTGAACACTTTGGACAGCTCTGGGAAGCATGGAGATAATTCTCTCAAAAACTGTCCAGTCTTGTCTGTGTCACATTGGAATTGACAATAAAGCAGACTTGACTTGACTTGACTTGACTATTCCGTGATTATTAAAGAGAGATTTCCTAAATTATATTGCCACCCTGAAGTCGACGAGAAACTGACGCGCCGCAGAGCCACACAGGAGGTGCGATCCATACTGCGATGCAGGAGAGCAGGTCAGTGCACAACAACAGCGGACCCTGCCTGCACACTGCAACCGAGTGCTGCGCAATATAACAAAGAGTGAAAAATTTAAGGGGGTCTGAATACTTTCCGTACCCACTGTATATCCTTCTCATTTCATCGACAGCATGCTCACATATTCACAATTACAAGAATAGGTTTAACCGTGCACACACGATAAATGTAAATATAGACAATCAATGCAACTTACGCAGTCAACGCGATCAAGAAGTTCTGTATTTGGCGGCCATAAAACTATGATTCCGTCGCTTTCATAGTTTTCCTCCTAGCATCTAACTCAGGGGTGCCCAAACTCGGTCCTGGAGGGCCGGTGTCCTGCAGAGTTTAGCTCCAACCCCAATTAAACACA